AGTGGCCACGGAGCTGAGAGATCCCTTCCAGCCACCTTTGCACCTGGGTGCCCACAGGGTCCCCACAGGGTCGAGGTACCTGGGGGGTGCTGCCCCACTAGCCCCCTCCCTCTGTCCCCCCCACATTGGGAAGCCAAAACCACCAACCTTTACAGATTTGATTATTTAAGGTCAGATTTGGAGGCTTCTCCTAGCAGGTCGCCCAGCTCCAGCGGACCCATCGTGCCCTGTCCTACTCCAGGCCCCAGCACTGCTCCTCTCTACCAGCTCCCAGAGCCGCTGATAAATCCAGCAGCATTTTTTCCCTCCTTCTTCTTCTTCTTCTTCTTCTTCTTCTCAGACAGCTCTGTGGACAGCTGAGCCGTACTTCTGAGCCGCTCTCATTACACACCGTAATGAGAAAGTTGAGCTGCCGCTCCGCTGTTTATCAAGGAAACATCCATTATAGATGGCGTTTTGTCTGTGCTAAACAAAGGGCGTGAAGACGGGGACGTGGGTTTAAAAACAAAGCGTTTTGTTCCCATGTTTGGTGTTTAATCAATACCAAGCCAGCCTGGATCCCTTCCTTCTCCTGCGCACGCCCCGGGCCAAGCCTCCCTCGTGGGTCCTCGGGTGAGGAAACGAGGCTTCCTCTCCCCAGGGGGATCACTCCTGAATCAGCTGCCCAACCCCAGCCAAAGAGAGATGGTTTCTGCTGTGCAGAAATGGACCTGGCCCAGGGACACAGCCACGGGCATCCTGCGAGGAGCTGGGCAGGATCCATCCCCGCCCCCGGCCATAAATCCACTGAAAATGGGGAGAAAACTCAAGCAAATGACACATCCCCCTGCTTTTGGATGCTGAGGAGCCACAGCCAGTGGAGGCTGGGAAATTCTTCAGCACCAGCATCACTGAAGCATATAAGACCAGATTATTTGTGTTCCCGACTTGCTGATGCAAGATGAAAAATACAGCAAACTGCAGCTGCTGAAATCAGCTCTTTTTCTCCCCTTCCCTTCCCTTTCCCCTTAGCTGAGGTTAGTGTTTTGCAAAAGGTTTTTATATTCTAGGAGCTAAAACCTGTCCATTGCAATCAGGCACAAAGCTCAGGGAGTTTGTCGGGCTCCTCTGTTGTGCCGGGAAAAGCTTCCCGGCGCAAAAAGCTTCACAAATTGCAGCGATCTGGGCCTGATTGCTGCTGCTCTCGCGGTCGGGAGCCAGGCGAAGGGGCTTGGGGCTATCTCAGAGGTGATTCTTAGCAGCCTCACAGGTCAAGGCCATTTGAATTGCTTCTTCTAGAGGACCAGGACCTGAGCTCAGAAGGGCAATGCAGAATGGAGGGGCCGCACAGCACCCTCCTCCTCGCCACGGGGGACCCCCGGGTGATCCAGACCCTGCTCCACGCTGAGCACTGCTTAAAATACCCTGGTCCAAAGCGTTCAGAAAACAGCCACTTGCAGAACCACTTGGTCATGATGGAAGAGCTGGTGGCTTTTATCTCCCCAGCTTTGTGGCCACTGATGGGACAGGAGCTGGTGTTCAACAACCATTTAACCACCAGCCCTTGCCGCTGGAAAGCAGCAGCAGAAAGCCATGAAAACCCCCAGAATGACTGTTTTCCATGCCGGGCCATTCATTTGCCCTCTCCTCCAACTCCTCTGCTTCTCATGGGAAGGAAGGAACGTGACCTTGGCGTGGGTTGTGTCCTGCAGGAGCAGCAGCCCCTACGAGGGGCAACCCCCTTCACCCATCTTGGCACCGACCCACGGCGAGATGGCAGCAAAAACCTCCTGGCAAAGTTCTATCCCGGTAGAGAGGGCTTTGCCATTCATTAGGCCTTCAGCCAGGAGGCTTAATTACGTTCACAGCTCGTGCAGGAGCATTATCTCATCTCCTGTCACCACTGGGTTTCAGAGCAGCTTGCCAATCTGCTCCTGAGTTTTAATGCCCTTACCAGTCCCGTGTGCTGATAAGGAGGACGAGCATCACTCCGCGATGCCGGGCCGATAAGCACAGGCAGCGAAGGGAAAGCTCATGGCAGACCCCAGCAGGGGCTCGGGATGACGGGACGTGGAGGGGTTTCACACCAACTTGCTCCTGGGTGGAGGCTGGTGGGTGCAGATGCCGTGGGAAGGAGGACAAAGCCTGCGCACTCTATTTATACACGTTCCCGGCACCTGGTGATGATCTTGGCAAGGGCTGCTTGCCAATGCTTTGTTATTTATAAAAGTGGAGGGCCTTGGGGAGGCAGGGGAGAGGAGAGCCCCCTCCCAGTACCAGGCAGCTCTGCAGAACAAGCCCAGAGCTGCTCAGCCAAGGGGACGTCAAAAAAACCTCACCCAGCTGGCACATGGATGCAAACCCACCCCCCCGGTGCTTTTGTAGAAGCCCAGAGCTGGACAAGCAGCATCCCACGGGGTCCTGGAGCCATGCAGCAGAGTCTGTAGATCCCTGCATGGGGTGCAGCGCTGTCTCTAGGACCCTCCGCATCACCAACAAGACCCCCTTGCACCAAGCCAAAGCCACCTGAAATATGTGGCGCGTCCACATCAGCCAAAACCCGCTGACAAAGTGCAAACAGAAGCTGCCGGAGGAGTTTGCGCTACCCACGAGGTGGTTAGACAGCCCAGATTTCGTTCAGCTCCGGAGCCTGGGCTTTCCAGGCTCACTAGGTGCTCTCTCAGCCTGGAGCAGCTGGGAAATGCCAGGAATGTGCACAGAGGAGGAGCTGAGGCTGTGGGAGAAGGGCTTCAGCCAGCAGGTAAAGCCATGCCCAACTCTAAACTGGGAAACTGGACCCAGAGCCATGGGTGCTGCGACTCCCTGCCCGGGTCTGGGCAGTGCCGGGGCAGACGGACTCACGGCCACGGGATATCGGGCAGCTCATGGCAGGCAGCAGGCTCTGATGATGGTTTTCCTCGACCAGCTCTCCTCCTCACCCTTGCCCCACAGGCAAGGGGAGGTGATACCCGTGTGTGCGCCAGGCACAGCGCGCAGGGCCATTCCTCCACCCCAAGGGAAGATGTGCTGGCAGGAGACCTCCAGATAGAGATGGAGGTGGGGGGAAAACAGCAGCAGGGACCAAAAACCACAGCCTGCGTGTGTGCCTGCTGCCGGGGAAGGCACACCACACGCACAGCCCCTGCTAGGAGGCTCTTCCAGAGCCCTCGCTATCCCAAAAGCCAGGGAGAAAGAAGCCAGACCCTCTCTCGCTTGCAACGCAACATGACTGGAGAAAAATCTTTTTTTTTTTTTTTTTCTCCCCCCCGCATTCAGCTCAGGTGCCAGGTACGGCTCACCCTAGGTAGGTCACCGCTCTGAAACACTTCTGCAGCTGCAAACACAAGAAGGACAAGTGAGCTGCTGGAGCGTGGCAGCATCTCCGAGCTTCCCGGGCGCATGCTCCCTGCCGCAGGCTCTTAACCCCGTCTTGCACCCCCATGCCCCAGCCTGGTTAATGCGACAGCTTTTAACGGGGGGTTCGGAGCAAACCCGCCTGCCTGAGCCTTGGGGAATGCTGCCAGAGCCCCCCCCCCCGGGTGGGAGCGGATGGGATGGGATCTTGTCAGCCCAGATCTGAGGGCGCATCCACACCCAGCCCTGCAACCCGCCAGCACGGGGAGAAATCAGCCGAGGTGAAGGCAAAACTCTACAAACCAGCGCCCGAAGCTGGACACACAAATAAACACCAAACTCAGGTGCTTCACAGAGCGAGAGCCCCCAGGCAGGCCCAAACCTCCCTGGAAAAATGCATTTCCAACTCGGAGCAAACAGCCCAAGCAGCTGCCACACGCCTCCCCCTTTGCTGTTTCACCTCTTTCTGGCAGAATTTCATTTCATGCAGGAACGGGTTTATAATTAATGCTCGGCAGCTCGGCGGCCTCTCCGGTCCCCCTCAACGCGCTGCTAATGCGGGTTATTCCCCTCCGCGAGCCGATGCATCCGCAGCATTTAATGTCTGAGCGAGCATCAGGCCTCCTGTCAGAAAGGTGCTACCATTAATTTGGCCACGACTCGGCACAGCCCTGGTATCTTTTATTCATAGACATTGGCTTATTGTATTACTTTTTGATAAAAAGCCACATTCCGACATTTCAAACACATTCGCTTGCAGCCGGAGGAAGACCTGAAGCTGTGTTATTTATTTATTTCACCACCAGGCTCTGGGAAACTCCATCACCTTGATGGCAAAAAGACCCTCCTCCTCATAGGAAACATATTCTTTATGAGGCTGATCCAGCCCCCGGAGGGTGACGGGAGGTTTTTTGTCGTATGAATAATGAGTTTCATAATGGAACAAAAGCCTGATCTCCCAACTTTGCTCTGCCACGGGGAAGACAGCGGATTTCACTGGCAATGAAGTTTCGCTGGGGATGCTGGAAGCACACCGAGGGATTTTGCTGCTCGCTGCCACGGTGCTTTTTGCACGTTCACCCCCTCCACGGCTTGGGGAGACGGAGTGATCCTGGGTGGGGAAGAGAGCCAGCACAGCCGCCAGGGGCTCAGCTCCACCGTTCACAGCAGAAAGGCAGCTCCAGCCCCGCTGCTCTGCTTCTGCCCCACGGCTCTGCCCCACGCCCCGCCGCAGCCTCCCAGGCCAAGCACGGGGAAGGTCAGAGCTGGGGTTTTGCACGGGGTGGGGGTTCAGAGCAGCTCAGACCTCAGTGTGCGGGGGGCTCAGTTGGCAGCCCCCACATTGGCAAACCACACAGAGCCCTGCACAAACCCACAGGTTGACCCCACAGCGACGAGAGACCAAACTCCAGGCCGCACCTCAGCCTCTCCACGAGCAGCCAAAACCCAATAAATCTGCCCCATTTTGCACACAGAGTCCCGCTGCTCCCGGAGGAGGCCCAGCCAGCGAGTGCCACGCGGCGTTGGGAAGAGGCAACCCATAAACTCGGAGGAGGGTCACGCAAGAAGAAAGCACTGCCAAGCCAGGCATGGCCCCCCAGCCTGGCCCTCCCCTCTCCAGCCTGCGGGTGCCCCTGGGGCAGCGGGAAGGGCGCGGAGCCCGGCGCAGCCCTTACCGGCAGAGGTGATCCGTCCGGCACGTGTTGCGCAGATCCAGGCAGTTGGGCTTCTCCTTGTCCTCGTAGGAGCAAGAGGGGACGATGGTTTGTCGCCGGCGCTCGGCGCAAGCCTGGTCCTTGCAGGAGCAGAAGAGGAGGCGGTAGGTGTACTCGCTGGGGACACGGTCGAAGAACTGGCGCAGCGCCTTGTGGCATTTCCTCCGGCTGCAGTGCTCGGTGGCCGAGATCTCCTTGCTGCAGGTGGAGATGTAGCCCGAGCGCAGGCGCTTGCAGTTGTCGTTCAGGTTGCAGGCTTTGGCCGCGTCGAGGCAGTGGTTGCTTTTGGAGTTGGTGGCGGGGTCCATTCCTGCCCGGAGAGAGAGAGAGAAGGGGTGAGCGTGGCACCGAGGGATGGGGAGATGCTGCGGCATCGGTGGGACCCCGGGCATCCCCGGCACAGCCTGGCCCTGCCCTGCAGGCAGCGGGGAGGGGGCTCAACGCGCTGCTGCCGTGCCCCCCGCTTCACCCCCATCCCCCTGCACGATTTGGAGGTCCTCCTCCAGCACGGGAAGGGTTAACGCGCACCAATTGCAGCAGGGGGACCTGGTCAAACAGTCTTAGGTGCATAATTCATGCCATGAATTTGCAATATTTTTTTTTTGCCTTATCAATTATTCAAAGAATAATTATTAATTATTCAACCTGCTCCAAAGCAGAATAATTTGCCGAGCTGCACAGGGCCCCCCTGGCCCCCACATCTTCTCCTGGGGCTCCCCAAAAGTGGGTCACCCCCAGCCTGTCCCCCCCTCCAGGGCAGGGACAAATGGGGACAAGGCTGCTGCTGGAGCCGGGCACCGGCCAGATCCCACGTGCATCCCGGGAATCCCAACTGTCAGCAGATAAACAGGCAGAGGATGGACGAAGCCAAACCACCGCATGGGAACAAATGCTGAATTTTCTTTTTTTTTTTTTTTTTTTTTTTTTTTTTTTTGTCAAAATGATGGATTGCCCTCAGCAGCAACCCAGGTGCTAGTTCAGAAACTCCAGACTCCACCAGTCATCTCATCCCTGATTTCCTCCCCTTCACAGCCCACCCCAAGCCAAGCCTGTGGATTCCTCCGTTGCCTCCCAGCTTCTGTAGGCAAAGACAAACGACAGCATCGAGGAGAGGTCCCTAACCAACACATTTGTAGGGCCCTGCTAATTAGCAAATGGCAAGCAACTCCCTGGGCGAGCATATCCCCACCTCCCCTTGCCTTCCCCATCTGCCCCTGGGGGCTGCCCCGCAGGTGAGCAGCATTTTGGGGTGTCATTTGCAGCACAGGACTCGATTTTGTCTCATTTTCCCATGGTTTTATCCAAGTTGGCATGATCCTGGGAGCTGCCAGCACAGCACTGCATACAGCAAGGGGTCTTGCTTCAAAGGTGAAGCTGGAAGCCCCCCCACCCCGGTGCCAGTCTCCATCCTGCTGCCCTTGGGGGACATTTGCAGCTGCTGGGGGCTTGGTGGCACCAGTCACAGTTGTGACAACTGTAGGGTCTTTGGGATCCCCTTCAGCAGGGCCAGCACCCCCTGGTATGTCCCCTGAGCTGGAGGAGGTAGCGGGGGGGTAAAGCTGTTTGAGAGAGTCCTCCAAATTCCCAACGTGTCATCACACCGATGAGCACCCCCCATGGAGATCTACTAGGGACAGGGGAGTTTGATGAGACATACATAAAGTGAACACTTCCGATGTGTGATTCAGAAGTAAATCTGCCTCGAAAAATAGTGCAAGAGGCAAGAAGGTCACCTGAGTGGAGAGATGTTGGAGCTGACGGATGGGCAGAGCACGAGCAGGCGCTTCCCTGGAGGGAGAAGCCTCCTCCCTGCTCCTTCTGTAAACGGGCTAGAAGCCCCATCAGGAATAAAGCCATGAGAGGGGGGAAAGGAGGGGAGGGCAAATCCTTCGAGGCTTCACACGCTCCCTGTGCAGCTGAGCCCCAAAGACAGGATGGGGCTGGGATCGTCACTTTGCAGCCCAGGTCCCTCCAGCTGAGGGCTAAGCATGGAAAGAGCTCATGACACTGATGTCAGAGAAGCAGAAAGGGCAAAAGACACTTACAGAGGTTGGGGGACACTTTGCGCTCTTTTCTCCTTGCCCAGACGAGCTCTGGAATTTGAGGGGGATGCACCGAGTACCCTCTGCACCCAGGGGTGCTGGTGGCCGCCCTGGCTCCGAGCCCCGAGAGCAAGGTTGCCAGCCAGCGCGGCAGCTCTCCGGCACAAACGTGGGATCTGTGCAAAGCGCCGCCCGATTGCCTCATCCTCCAGAGCATCGCTCCTGCCCTGCCCGAGACCTGCAGGGACCTGGATGCATTTTAATAGAGCCGATGCTTGAAAGTGCAGGGTTTCTGGGGAGCTCATTAATAAAGCACAAGCATGAAAATTTCATGAGGCGAGAAGGAAATGGGGGCCAAGGAGCCGGGGAGGGAACCGCGCTGGGAGGCCTGGTGCCACCAGCTGTCCCCTCAGGCCTCTCGGTGCAGGATGGGGTCAGGGCAGAGGAGGAGGAGGAGGGTGATGGGGAAGGCAGCGCTGCTGCCAGCTCACCCCGTGCTGTGTGCATGGTGTGGGCCGAGGCCGGGGGTCTGACACCCGCCTGCCTCTGGGGTGCTGATGCTGCGGTTTGGTGCCCACGTGGGCAGAGACACAGCGTGGGGCTGGTTTCCCACCCGGAGCCTCCTCCTTCCCCCCCACAGGCCGTGGTTTCCACCGGGCCAGCGCTGGCACCCCTTGGCACTGCAGAGCATCCTGGCTGCCGGCCCAGCCCGCGATGTTCTGCTCCACGGAGGGGTCTGGGAGGGCCGAACCCCCGGTGCGGGGAGGGCTGCGGTGCTTGCTCGGGGTGTTTGCTTGTGATGCTCAATTACTGTGCCACCAGCCCCCCCCCCCCCCCCCCCCCCCCCCCCCCCCCCCCCCCCCCCCCCCCCCCCCCCCCCCCCCCCCCCCCCCCCCCCCCCCCC